CGTCTATCATTGTAGCTTGGTTTTATATGAGAATTGGGAGTGGTAGAGGGTATGAATTGATGATGCAGAATTGATTGCTAGCTGGTTATGTAAGTAGCCAAAGCTACTTTTGTAGATACAGTTGCATTAGTGCTCTTTGTGGTGAGGATTCAGGGTTACTGGGTTAGAGACCTTTCTATCGAAGTCGCACTCTAATTAGGCGATTAAATTTTGTATTGTCTTTAGTGGAACGTGCAATTTTGTTTAGAAATTTCTCTTTGCTTGTATTTATTTTGTTGGGACAAGAAAAAAGATCTGAGCTTTTGAATGATATTCTCAGTGTAGTTCTGTTGATGTAAATTATGAAATTTGCTTTATACAACTGTAATGTCAACTTTGGTAGAACGTGTAACAATGATTACACATGTTAGGTGATTCATAGACAAAGGTAGAGTTGCAACATCATGGTTACTTCTGATGACTTTTCAAAAGTTTTAATCTTTTCTTGTTCATGCAAAGTGCATATCAAATTATCAGCATTGGCAGTTAAGATGATTGTTGTTATTATGAGTTTGTTCTTAACATATTTTATTTTTTGTTGTTATATGCAGACTGCTTCAGCTAAGAGTTGGACATGCATGGATCTCTATGTGTTTGCAACACCATATAGGATAACATGGGATTACTATTTTGCTGCTCGAGAACACACTTTGGAGATTAAATCATGGGAAGAAGAAGCGGAACTGGAATATGTGTGTTTTCTTCCCAAAGTTTCTTTCCCTCCTTTTTTTACCATGCAATATCTTATCAAATTAATCTTAATGATACAATCTTTCGTGTTTGTGATCAGGTGAAGCAACACGGCATCTCTGTTTTTCTCATGCCATCTGGGATGCTTGGAACTTTGTTATCTTTGATTGATGTCCTACCTTTGTTTTCCAATACTGGTTGGGGTCAACATTCCAACTTGGCCTTTTTGGAGAAGCATATGGGAGCTTCATTTGAGAAACGTTCTCAGCCTTGGGTTACTACTATTAGGAAGGAGGATATACATTCTGGTGATTTTTTGGCTCTATCGAAGATACGAGGACGCTGGGGTGCATTTGAGACACTAGAGAAATGGGTGACTGGTGCGTTTGCTGGGCACACCGCAGTTTGCTTGAAAGATGAGAAGGGTGAAGTTTGGGTTGCGGAATCAGGCTTTGAAAATGAAAAGGTATAGTTTGCTGAACTGTCGTGCGTCTTGAAAGTTTGCATGATATTGTCTACATGTGATATGTGTGCTAGCATTGAATATCGATCATGTCCTATTGCTTTCTCTTTTTTTTTCTATTGTTTGTGTTGAATATTGATCATGTTAAGCAATTCACTAAACAAGTAAATAGTATTACTTGTTATGCTTCTGCTCTGAAATTGACACTTTTCCTCTTTAAACTCGTCCCTTTGGTAAAAATATTGTGTTGAGCCTGTAGGCCAGCTAGAGGTTTGAACTTATTGTCTGGGAGGTTCATTTTAGTAGTCAATCTGCAGTTCTTGTGTTAAATCTTGCAGCACATGCACTAATTTTCTTGCCCCCCTTCAAAACTTATTCATTCATTTTATTCCTGTGCATAACATTCGCATTTGTGTATTTTTCTTGATGATACTCTGTTACAAATTACAATAATAGGGAGAAGAAATTATTGTTATAGTTCCTTGGGATGAATGGTGGGCAATGGCACTCAAGGATTCGTCAAATCCTCAGATAGCCCTTCTACCACTACATCCTGATGTACGGGCCAGATTCAATGAAAGTGCAGCATGGGACTATGCTCGAAGCATGGTTGGAAAGCCTTATGGCTATCATAACATGATATTTAGCTGGATTGATACAATCGGAGACAATTATCCACCTCCTCTTGATGCAAACCTGGTATGTCATCTTTGTGTTTGATATTTTAGTTCCAGCATCGCCAGAGTGTACACATGTTCTATTGTGATCTTTTTGTATACCTATATGGGTGCACACTATATCAAGATTGTGCTCTTAACATAAACAAAACTACTAAACTATATGGGGGTTGTTGAGTGATGGAGCATCCTGATGCATCCAAATTGATTCAATCTTAATTTCTGTAACAGTATTAGTCATTTTTGTATATTGCTAAGTTCCATAATACATTGTTTTCAGGTGATGGCTGTTATGTCAATGTGGACTAGGTTACAACCGCTTTATGCTGCAAACATGTGGAATGAAGCCCTTAACAAACGACTTGGGACTGAGGTCTGTGAACAACTCTGTGCATTGTAATGGTTTCAGCTTTATAAAAATTGGACTACAGTTCTGTGAAACTACTCTTTGCCACAATTCATACTTTGGGTACTGATATTGCACTAATAAAATCTACACTGTTGAAATTGTCTGCTAACCCTACGGTGATGTTGTCACTCCAGTTCAGTTTTGGTTTCTACATACTTGTTTGGACGTTGCCTAGTCTTAGGCAGACATGAAATAAGTTGGCTTGATTTCCCCTCTTCTTTTTGACTGAAAAACAGTAGGGGAGTTTTCCCCCTTAAACTAAGTTGCTTATTGAAAGAGGCATAAACAATTGTTTTATTCAATTTGCTCCTGCCACAGTTTGTTTTTCATTGCTATACTCAGCTACTAATTTCATCTCCTCTGCATTTTTTTTATATAGGGGTTGGACCTTCATGGGATCATTGTTGAAACTGAAAGACGTGGGATGTCTTTTGATCAGTTGCTCACCATCCCTGAGCAAGATGAATGGGTTTACAGTGATGGTAAATCTACAACATGTGTTGCCTTTATTCTTGCAATGTACAAGGAGGCTGGAATATTCACGCCTTTTGCAGAGTCGATTCAGGTGACCGAGTTCACTGTAAGTACCTAACTACTTGTCCAAGTTGCAGGAAAACACTGTGTTCTTCAACATGTTTGAATTCATTTCGTTGCCATCATTCTTCCATTGGTTGATGCCAAAAGTTCCGAAATTCCCTACACCAATCTGACTGTCTACTTCTGCCTCAGATACGCGACGCGTACATGCTCAAGATTTTCGAAGATAACCAGGCCAGACTTCCAAGCTGGTGCAACACAGAATCTGACAAGCTCCCCTTCTGCCAGATCCTGGGGGAGTACAGGATGGAGCTACCGGAGTACAACACAATAGAACCGTATGCCAAAATGAATGAGAACTGCCCATCTTTACCCCCAACGTACAAGCGGCCAGCGCGTTGCTGACACTGTGCCCCCACAACTGAAAGTAGGATGTTGTTTGAAAGTTTATCATGTAAGTAAATCATATTGTATATAGGTGTTTGATAGATCGCAGTTTTCACACGTAAGGAAGGTGACCCTCAGGTTTCTGCCTGTTACGAGAGCTGTTCTTGAGCTCAGGCATCCAATATGAAGGACTGACCTGTCTAAGAATTTGCTCACAACACAGAACTTTGAAATGATATCTACTGAAAAACTGGCTCTGATAAGTTTTCGGCTTGAGGAATCAAACCGATTCTAGAATAATTTCAGTGGGATAAATGCATTCTCAATTTTCTGTTGGATAATGTGCTTTGAGGAATTGGATAATGTGATGCTTCTGCCTTTTGTTCTCTAGTGCTATATGGTACTATAAATTGGCTAGTACTACTTAAAAGTGACTTTTGAAGAACTTAAATGAAGCTGCAAGTACCCTTCTTCATGGAGCACATGGTCTATAAGAAATGATTGGATATTCTTGTCACTTCCACCATGTATCCAAAAAGGGAAAGAAAACATTCAAATTAAAATTTGCTCAGGTTGTATACAGGTAGTTATAAACCGTAAATGACAAATTGGATGGAGAGCCTGATGCAATATCGAACTGGTAAAATGCCCTGTGGGTGCATGCGCTTTCCACGGTTTCTTTCCCTGTCATTTGCTAATTGAGGGGGTGTTTAGATGGGGCTAAAACTTTTTATTCCATGTCATATCGGATGTTTGGACGCTAATTTGGAGTATTAATCGTAGACTAATAAAAAAACTAATTTCATAAATAAGAGCTAATTTGCGAGATGAATTTTTTAAGCCTAATTAATCCATAATTATGAAAAGTTTACTGTAGCATCACGTTGTCAAATCATGGCGTAATTAGACTTAAAAGATTCGTCTCGCGAATTAGTCTAAGGTTATGGAATGAGTTTTGTAATTAGTGTATGTTTAATACTCCAAATTAGTGTCCAAGCATTCGATGTGACAGGGACTTGGAATAAGTCCATGTTTCCCAAACAGGCCCTGACTTGTCAACTGCACATAAAACTTAAAACTTATTTTTTAAAACACTGAGTTCTTTTTTATCGTAGTCTATTTTTGAATTAGAATTTAAACCACAAATAACATCGTATAAAATTTTTACTCATAAATTATATTTTATTGCTTAGTTCATTTTTTTCACCCTCTATGTGTTTAGTTCACACCAAAATTGGAAGTTTGGTTGCAATTGAAACGATGTGATGAAAAAGTTGAAAGTTTGTGTATGTAGGAAAGTTTTGATGTGATGGAAAAGTTGAAAGTTTGAAGAAAAATTTTGCAACTAAACACGGCCTATATGTCAAGCAGATATGGGTAATCAGATCTGCTCGATCTTACCACTTTCGTAAAAAACAGAAGTCAAACCGAAAAATATTGCGTTGTAAAGTTGGGGCACGTAAAACGAGATATCTATTAGCTCATAATTAAGTTTTAATTATTATAAAATTGATAATTAGATATATTTGATATTTTAAAGCAACATATGTATAGAAAATTTTCGCACGAAATATATCATTTAATAGTTTAAAAATCGTGCTAACAAAAATCGTGATAAAATGTTACTAATCTCATAAGAAAAAAGAACACTACCGCGGCCAATATCGCTAAACATCAGGGGATTTCTTGTCCCTGTCTATCGTGCCAGGCTACCAGCCACGGCGCACGAGTGCGAAAGGCTCGAAGCTGCCCCATTGCGACAAGCAACACACACCCACCCACCACACCACTCCACCGGTTCGGGCTCGAGCCGCAGCCGCCAACGTCCCAAGCGACCGAGCCAAGCGCGTCACCCGCCACACTGTCACAGACGCGACGCGCTCCCGCTCCCCGACGATGCCGGCGGCGGCGGCGCTGTCCGACGACGACCGCCTGGTCGTCGCCCACTGCGCCGCGCTCTCCTTCCCACCCGCCTCCCAGCCGCCGCCCCCTCCCACCACCTCCTCCTCCTCCTCGGGCGCCGGCGCGGGCGCCTCCTTCCAGGTGCACCACGCGTCCCACCCGTACCCCTGCGCCGCCTTCGCGTTCCCGCCCTCCTGGTCCGCCGCGCCCGGCTGGGCCGCCGCGGGGCGCGCGGCGTTCGGGGACGCGGAGGTGGACCCGTCCCTCTTCCCGTCGCTCCGCAGCGTCGGGAGCGGCGTCCCCGCGCGCGCCAACGCCGCGTTCCTCGCCTCCTTCGGCGCCCTCCTCGACGGCTCGCCGCTCCAGTCCGAGGTGAGCTCCCCCACCTCCTCCTCATCGAGATCTCGTCGTCTTCGAGTTCGAGGTCTTTTCGGCGCTTTGCTGTTTCGCTACCTCTGCCTTTTGCTGTAACAACAGAAGAACATGCCTTTCTGTGAAGCCTTCCATTTGGGTGAAATGGAGTATATTCATTTTGAAGACGAAGATAACTTCAATTGTTCATTTCGCATCGCTGTTTCGCGCTCTAGTTGTATGTAGGATTTTGATTTCTACGCGATTTAGAGATCAAGCAGAAACTTATAACTGTCGTTGCTGTTGGCTTGTTTCTCTGTATCTGAGTCAAATTGCAGTGATTAATTGGGCTAATCACCTGGGTTACTGGGTATGAGATGTGTACAATATTGTTGCGTGAACACGCGTGGATTAAACTGTGCTTATTCAGCCAACTAGGGAGCTCGTAATTGTGGATTGGGGTGTTTGGAGATCAGTACACTTCTCTTGAATTGTGGTTAGGGGTTATAGAATTAGATAACCTCCTTTTGTGATCTGTGTTGTCCGCAGTGGCTGTTCTAAGGAGTTTTTCTTTTGGTTTCGATGCTGTTTCTTTTGGCACATTTTCGACTTGCAAAGTTCTTGATAATATTCACTTTTGATTTGAGTCTACTAAAAAGAATAGGAGATGATAATTCATGGTTTACAACAGTTCTAGTGTGCTAGTAGCTATATCCTACACCTTGGTTGCTAATCGGTATTAAAAGTAGTTTGGTTATAGTACCTCTTTGTTCTCTATGAAAAGAGTCGAAATGATCTAGAGTACCTTATTTGACCAAAAGAGACCATCTTGAATTCAACATTAATATAGTCAGGCAAGATTGTTTCTTCTTGTTGTCAGCATAAAACTTGTCTTAGCTCCATCCGATACCATCTTTGTATAAAAAGAATGATGATCTTTTTTTTAAGGAAAAAAAGAATGGTAATCTTGACATGGTATGTTTTTATTTGAATTTATTTCACCTGATACAAATAAGTGATTGTTTGTTTTGAACTATAGGTATCTAGAGCTGTGGCAGAAGAGAAGCGTATTGTATTCACAGGCCATTCATCAGGGGGTTCAATAGCTACCCTTGCTGCCATATGGTTTCTTGAGACCTGCACCAGGAGAGGCAGTGTTAATCAGGCACACCCATTTTGTGTAACCTTTGGGGCTCCTCTTGTTGGAGACAATACCTTTAACAATGCTGTTCGAAGGGAGGGCTGGTCACAGTGTATTTTGAATTTTGTCGTGCCAGTAGACATCATCCCCCGCATACCACTTACTCCGCTTGCATCTGCCACAGAAGGAATTCAAGCTGTTCTGGATTGGTTATCCCCTCAAACTCCGAACTTCTCGCCTTCTGGGATGCCACTCATCATAAGTCAGTTTTATGAAAATTTACTGAGAAGCACACTTTCTATTGCGAGCTATGAGGCCTGTTCCTTCATGGGATGCACTAGCTCGATCTTAGGAACATTGACTTCCTTCATTGAGCTCTCCCCTTACAGACCCTGTGGGACTTATCTTTTCTTGACAAGCAGTGAACAGCTGGCCGTTCTGACAAATTCAGATGCTGTATTGCAGTTGCTATTTTACTGCCTTCAGTTGGATCCCCAGCAACAATTGCGTGATGCTGCTGAGAGAAGTTTAAGTGCTCATTGGCAATATGAACCAATTAAGCAAAGCATGATGCAAGAGATAGTTTGCGTGGATTACTTGGGAGTGGTTTCATCAACACTTCCTGGTAGGCAGATGAGTAGCACAATAGTTGGAGGCCTTGAACTGGTAAGCAACACTTACATTTCTTCAATAAAGAACTGTGGGTTGCATATGTAAAAATATGAATTTCCTAGTGAAATGCTATGTGTCAATGCAACTTACTTTGAAAATTATTGATGTTGCTTTTAGCGCCAGGTGTGCCATTTATTACATGACCAAATTCAACACCACGATATTTTGGTCTATGTTAAATGCCAATGGACACATCAAATTGATATAAGTGACCATGTTCACGTTCAATCAAAATCCTCAGCTACCACCTCAACATTCGTAATAATTGATTAGTGTTTTCCTTTCAACAATAAAACTGAAGCCTATCTGTTGTATTTTTATAAAATGGGTTGTTTATTGCAGAGCAAGGAAGCTATGTTGAGCCTTTCTGCAGCTGGACAATGGGAGAAGCAAAGGGAGACAAACCAGGCAAAAATAGATGGTGCAAGCTGCACCAAAATTAGGGAAGCCCTCAAGTCTCTGAACGAGTACAAAAGGACATGTGAACTCCATGAAGTGAGCTACTATGATTCCTTCAAGCTTCAGCGTGAAGTACATGACTTTAATGCAAATGTTAGCAGGTTGGAACTAGCTGGACTCTGGGATGAGATAGTTGAAATGCTGCGAAGGCGTGAGCTGCCAGATGGTTTCGAAAGCCGACAAGATTGGGTGAATCTAGGAACCTTGTACCGCCGGTTGGTTGAGCCCTTAGACATTGCAAACTACTATAGGCATTCCAAGAACGAGGACACTGGCTCCTACCTCTCCAAGGGAAGGCCAAGACGTTACAAGTACACCCAGGAGTGGCACGAGCAGTCGCAGCGCATCTCCTTCGGTTCTAGCCTTGAGTCTTGCTTCTGGGCAATGGCTGAGGAACTCCAGGCTGAGATTGCTAACGGCAAAACATTCGAGGATGTGAGAGATAGAGTAGTTAAGCTTGAGAGTGATGCTCACGGATGGTCCATGTCTGGAAGTTTAGGGAAGGATATATTCCTGAGCCGTTCTTCTTTTGTGATTTGGTGGAAGACGCTCCCGGAGAACCACAGATCTGCATCATGCATCGCGAAACTTGTGCCCTGGTAAGGAAGCTTTACATTATATGGATAGAATTATTTGCCTTCACAATGATGAGGCAGGCATTCGTGGCATGTTGCAACTACTGCCACTGTAACTGTATACCATATGCATGAACTTTGTAAATATGCTACTTCGCGTTTTTGTATCCTACACAATACAATCAGTTCAAGTTGAACCATTTGTTTCTTGCATCATTGCTGGCTCATATGTTGGCCAATGCGGTCAGCAAGGTTGTAGCCGCAAGCGATTGCCTAGGAGTTTGTTCAGGCAAATTTTGTGAGCCTGAATTGCTGCTGAATGAGTTAAAAAAAAATGCCGCCTCCAATTTTTTTGGGTCTAAAATTCTGTATTGATGTTGAAGATGAGGTTTAAGCTGCTACGCTTGACTTAATAAAAAAGAGTCGTAGATACATGCATATGCTCCCTTCAGATTAAAAAATATATCAAACTTAAAAAAAATTGACTATAAATATATTCTAAAATATTTGCTTTAGAAAATTGAGATCATTTGTATAGATTGATCTTAAAATACATTTCAATAAAATCATAATATCATATATACACACATATGTGTGTGTGTTTGTGTGGCAAAAGTTATAACTTTTGGAAACCGGGTACTTATCCAAAACAACGTTTATTTTTAATCTAGAGGGAGCACTCTATAAATTGGTACGTAGATCAATTGATACTAATGAAGGTCAACCCATACACCATAGTACACCCTCTCAGCTCCCCAGTTTTCTCTAGTTTCTTGCTGTCCCAATTTGTACGACCACACATCTGCACATTTTTCGCAGCATGTGCCATTGCTGTGATCCCCCATAGTGGAATACTTTGTGTTGGACGATGATGATTTTGGTACAAAGGCTAATTCGCCATCGCGAGAGATAATGTTGACATGGATGGTCTCAGGCCATTTGTAGAACATCGGGAGGAACACCCTGTTTTGCATCCACTTGAACTTGGTCTTCTTCACCATGGATGTGAGTGTACCCGTGAACAGCGTTCGCCCCTGCAGACTCTCCACCTGCTCCCACTCCATCCTCTCCTTGTTAAGCACGATGACATGTACCGGTGTCCCACGTCGACCAAAGAGGACGGCCATAAGCTCGCCCTGATCAGACTCAACCAGGTAACTGTCGTGGTACTGTTCGAACCCGAAGCTCATGGGCTTATCGAGAATCTTAAATCCTTCCGCGTGCTTGCATGGGTCATACACGGCCAACCTCCCATGTTCGCCGAGAAGGTATATCGAACCGCGATGGAAAACCGGGTTGGTGACGGGCGATGGCCTTAGCCGTGGCCCATTAGCGTCATACTCCGTCAGTGTCCAGTCCTCCCACTCGCCCTCGTCGCCGTCGCCGATCTGGCTGGTGTAGCCAACCGCGAGCGGGAGAACCGCATCGATCCCGAACATCCTCCGCGCGCCGCTGCCGCCGTAGACGACGAAGTCGAAATGGTCCGCGTACGCCGCATGCGGAGCCTGACGAACAGCGCCGGTCACGAGGTGGACATCGAGCGCTAGCCTCGGCTTCTCGAGCGCGAGGTGCCGCCCGGTGGCGCAACAGATCTTGGCATCACGGGCGACGTCGTCGTCGCAGCTGGCCACCACCACCTCGAAGGTGTAGTGGTAGTAGGGGCTGTAGTAGCGGAGGTTCGCGGCGCCGACGCGGGCGGTGCTGAGCAGGAGCGGGGTGATCCACGCCGGGTAGAAGGGCGGCACGGCGGAGCGCCAGTGCCGGCACGACAGCGCGAAGCTCGGGTGGCTCGACCACCGCAGCTGCTCCAGGACCGCGGCGAGGACGTCGAGCGGGAGGGACGACCAGTCCCGTTCCTCCATGATCGCGTGCGTACGTTCTTCTTCTTCTTCTTGATCCATCGATCGATCGGTGGTTGATTCGTGTGTACATGGGGGGCGTCACGTACGTACAACGTACATTTTAAAGTTGCGAGACCGTGCGTGCGTGTTCGCGTCGGGCTCGGTCACCGGATACGACGCGACGTCCGTACGCGTGTTCGCGTCGGAATACGTACGTACTGATACCATATACGCGTGGATAGCGGGAATTAATCTGAATCTGAGGCGGATTCGCAGATCCAGTGCATCACGGCCTCACGGGTATTTAAAGGAAGGGGCGCACAGTATGCCGTACCTGCCTGGTTGCTTGCAGCCGTAGATCGTTACGCATACAGGTACGTATATATGTATTTAATTTAATTTTCATTTTACTTATATTTATATATTATTATATATATATTTATATTTATATATATTAGAAAAATGTTCACGCGTTGCAACAGACGAAGGCTATTTTAATATTAATATTGTTATATATTGTGAAATTCGAGAATCGCTTGGATATATATATTTTTGGAAAATCATGAGCTGTAATTAGTAGTTCAATCATTTCAAATTAGCATGCGAGTTTTTTTAAAGATATTTCTTGTATGACTCCTGTATTTCTAAAAGCCAACGAACTTAAAACCTAACTCAAATACGGGTCTATATTTGCAAAAGCGAACGAACTTAAAAATCAACTCATACACGGATAACGTACCAAAGTACCAGAAAAATATCTTCAATTTTTATAATAGTGGAGATATATACTTTTTGCAACTAATCATGAAACGCGGGAATAGCCCTATGCGATTTATTCCTTTACGAATATATATATTAGGGTCCTTTATTCTTGTCGTTATACCATCCTCCACGAGTAAACTTCAATTTTTTTTTATGCAGCTTAGTACACGTATTGGCTAACTCACAATGCAGATAGGGATCAAAGAAAGCGAAGGTCCAACATCACTGGATCCTAAATTAGCTCCGGTGTTATGGTTTCATAACAACTATGATCAATATGTGGAAGAAAGTGATGACGAGGATGGTGAGGTAAGTGGTGATGATGAGGAGGTGAGCGACGAAGACGAGTTTAGTGCGACAAGTGATGAGGATGAGTCCATAGAGGAAACCGATGACGATGGAATAAGCGACGACGACGACAGTAACGATGATGAGGAGGAGTCTAATGAGGTAAATGATACCTTGCTCCTCTACAGCATATCTAGCCAACAATTGCTAGCCAACAGCGGACTAGATGATTTGAAAGACCTCTTTTACTGGATAACACCGCAAGGTTGGCTGCTCATGTTGCACCGTGACTCGCATGCGATCTTCTTGACTCGCATGTGATTCACATCTCAGAGAATTAATCTACCCTTCGATCAAGATAGATTTCTCAGAAAGAATTATACAAGGTGCTTGCTATCACACAAGCCTACTGATTCAAATTGTGTTGTGCTCGTCCTAAGCCTTCATGACACAGTGTTTTGGTATTGTCGTCCTGGAGGAATGCAGTGGTTTAAACATGAGTATCAGGCTAGGAGGTTTTTCCGTCACCGTGGTACTGTCATTAAAACTATGTCTCTTATGACGGCAGTGGGGGGCAAGTTCTGCACGGCGTTTTTTAGCACTGTCGTGACATTAGATTTCTCCCCGAATCCAACATTTGATATTGTTGCTGTTACACTGGTACAAAATTCAGTGTACAACTTTAGGGAAATCTACTTGTTAGAATCAAGAGGGGAGTTGTTCTGCTTGTACTTCTACCCTCCAGGAGCATGTTCTAATAAAACAGTGGAGATTTCTGTTTACAAGCTGGACATACCAACGACAGCTTGGGTGAAGGTGGACACACTTGGTGATAGGGCGTTTATTATCAATACCAGGAAGGGCTACGGAGCATCGGTCAATGCAAAAGAAGCTTGCCTACAGGAAAACTGCATTTATTTTTCGAGGCACAGAGACAAAGGACTATATGTTTACAGTATGGAGCGTGGAACTACTGCTGCAATCAATCCCAGTACAGATCTTGTAGATGATGTGGCAGCTCAAATATTGATGCCCGCATCTTGATCCTATATTAATTTTCTCTTTATTTTTCCCAATGACCAGGGGGTGTATAAAAACAAAAGATTGTATCCAATGGTTCAGTTTATGTCAATGGTAAAAACAAAATACTTTCCACTACCCCCAAACAAAGAATGAGAAGGAAGACGTCGCATGCATATACCCTTATGTATAAATAAACTATATGAAAACTACACGTTGCCGCAAAAAATACTACTTCCTCCGTTTCACAATGTAAGTCATTCTAGCATTTCCCACATTCATATTAATGTTAATGAATCTAGATAGATATATATGTCTAGATTCATTAACATCAATATGAATGTGAGAAATGCTAGAATGATTTATATTGTGAAACGGAGGAAGTATATGTCAATGGTAAAAATATAATATGTGAATAACGACGTGGATGCACGGTACAATATAAATACTTTTGGGACTACCTAACCAACATGCGATAGAAAATCCCTCCAATTTTTTTCAAGTATAACTACAGTATAATCATAGTGTAATTACATTATAACCATTCACCAATCGTAAAAAAAAATGCTTAATTTGGAGGGAGGGAAGTTTGGGCTTTGTGTTGAATAGAATGGACTGGACCGTACTGAGTCACAAGTCACGACCGTGAGATCGTTGCGCCGCACTGCTGCACGATCATCCATCTTCTTCCCTCCACGCCGACGGCAAGGAGCGTGCTGCGGCCTTGTTCACAATCACCGCGTCGTACGTGTGCATTCGTGGAAAAATAGGTTCACTTTGGGTCTCTCATCTTGTTGTCAAGTTTGAATCGCATCCCTAAACCGCAGTATCAGAAATCTTAGCCCCACTAAGATGCAAAACAAGATTAAATTAGGTCCTCAAGTAGTATAGATAGTTGATTTCGCTAACATGATAAATTGACCTGGTCCCGTACTCGTGCTAGCGTGGAAAAACAAAAAATAGGCCCTACATAACATTCTCAGTCTCCTCCCTCTCTATTTCCCATGTTATTGGCATGTCCTCCCAAATTAGGTGAGGCATCCACGGTGGTGAGATACTAGCTGAGCGGCCTCGGCGATGGGGAACGGTGTGGTGAGCGGTGAGATGAAGGAAACAACAAAGTGAATGGTGAAAGAGGCACAATGAGGTGGTGGTGGCTGCCGCCGCAGCCATGGCCGCGAGGTGGGATGGGGGTGGGGACGGCTCGGGGACAACTGGTAATAGGGTGGTGGACGCCAGTGACAGCACCTACGGGCTACGGGCCGAAGCATGGGATGTTGAGATTGGTGCCAAGGAGAACTTCAGGGCGAAGATGACAACTCGTCCAAGGATGGTGACATCGACTAGCCGTTGCTAGGTGTTGATGGCCGTTATAGACCAATTTCGACCGTCAATATAACTATAATAAAGGAGAATTAGCTAAGCTTATAATGCATATTTGTTTTAGAATAATATAGTTCCACCTTGTTGTTTCAAAAATTATGAAAAAAAAAATCTACTCTCTCCATTTCAGGTTATAAGATGTTTTGACTTTGGTCAAAGTCAAACCGCTTAAAGTTTGACTAAGTTTATAGATGAATATAGCAATATTTATAATAACAAATTAGTTTCATTGAATCAATAATTGAATATATTTTCATAAAAACATTGTCTTGAGTTGAAAATGTTATTATTTTTTCTACAAACTTAGTCAAACTTGAAGCAGTTTGACTTTGACCAAAGTTAAAACATCTTATAACCTGAAACAGAGGTAGTAATCAACAACAAACCACCCCATGGTCAGAAAAGTTATTGCATGTTCCCATTACCTTGGAAACAAAGCTGCAGATTGTAGGAAAAAAGTGCACAAAAACCTTCAATATATTTAGCTCAAATCGAGCAAAACTAGCCCAAGAAATCACCTCCTAATATGCTTCAAAGCCACACAAAAAACCAACAAAAATCTTGTGATTCGATTTACCTCCTCCAATAGAAGAAGCCTCATGAATTTCTCCAACAATCCCTCCACTTTTTCCCACCCTTTTTTTTTCTCTTTTATTTTTTCTTCCTCTTATCTTTTTCTCTTCTTTTCCGTTCCGCTCCGCTCCACTAACTGCGCGCTCGCCCGCCTGCTCCAGCCGCTCGTTGCCGCTACCCCCTCTGCAGACGAGAGGAGAAAAAAAAGATCGCTGGCGAGAAGAGAAGAAGAAAAGAAAGAAGAAAGAAACGAAATGAGAGATGCATGGCCCACACCATTCTCTCACTTACATGTGACCTCGCATATTTATTTTTTTTCTGACTAGGATGGCATGTCAGCAAAATTAGGCATCTATACTGTCTCGAGATTTTTTTTTTTTTTGATGTTTTTTACATTTCTGGTATTATAGTTAGGGGACCTTAGATAGACTGGCGTAAAACTGTGGTGAACTTCGGGTGGGTTGGATTTAGGTTATATGTCAGCCCATTAGCAGGCCTAGTACTGCCGGCCCACAAAACAACGAAGCGATCTCGCGTCCCCTGTCCACTGCCCTCCCTTCCGCCGCCGCCTCCTCCTCCTGTCCCCTCCCTAAGCTCTAATCTTCCGCCGCCACCGCCACCGCCGACGACCCCGTCCCCCTCCGGCTCCGATGGCGAAGACCACCAGAGCGTGGAAGGCGCAGGCCGCCAGCGACCGCAAGGACAAGGCAGGGCAGAAGGCTGCGGAGGACAGCTTTCAGTGCTCCTGCGGAAGATTCTACAAAGGATCTACCACAAGGGAGAACGAGCATACGCAGAGATGCCTCGCCAAGCGGAAGGAGGTGGCGGCCGGCCGAATGGCGGCGGAGGCAGCGAAGGAGGCCGCCAACGAGCCGTAGGTCAACAGGAAGGCCCCGACCAGAGAGCATCTAGATCTACAGGTAACGCCTCGAGAGCCATCTAGCTTGTTGTTGTTAATTGTGATTAGCAGTTTAACACAATTGGAGTTGCGAGTTACTGATTGTGCACAATATATCTCTTCAGTGGATTCTCTGCAAAATAATACTGATGTAGGTGAAATGATGTATAAATAGAAATCACACTCGAGTAGTAAACACACCAGTTGGCTCAACAATCTACAGTAGAGTGTTCACAAAATTTTGGCCCTAGTGGTTGGGAGAAAGGAATTAGGGTCGACAATACAGAGAGCTCAGTTGTCAGTTGAACTCACACTTGTGATGGAGTTGTACTCACACTTCACACAGCAACTGTAGTCTTTTCTCAGGAATAACTTTTGCTTGCATTTCCTTTTTAATAAAATACAGTTTTAGCTGAGGTAACATGTAAGATCAATAAATAAGAGTACTAGATTTTTTGAGTGAGTCACCTTTGGCAAATTGACATAATAGTTCACATTGTGGAACTTCATGGTGAGTGGCTGAAAAGGTTACATTGCCATGGTCATGTCTCGTGCAATAGCTCCCATTATCCTGAAAAGGCCCAATGCCATTTGATGTATAGAGAATAACAGCAACATGAAACAAAAGAATCTGCACATGGTATGTTAGATCAACATGAACAAATACAAAAGATGTAGCTAGTTAGGCATATTGATCAAAAGGGTACATGTCCTGGGTATACCTGTCAACCATTGGTGCAAAGCCTACCGTGTAGTATACAACACATGACCATACAACAGCTTCAATAAAGGAATATGGAAATCTTAGTATCCAATTTGGAAGTGAGAGCCCATGCAGGATGAAAGAAATTGTCTCCCTGTTTATAGAACACTGGAAGTCGAGAAATATTCATGCCAGATAAAGATTCCCATTTTGTTCATCAACAGGATGTAATCTTGTCCGGAGAAACAGTGTGGATGTAATGATCCCAACAAAAGCAACCTGCAAAAAATCAATCCATTCCTCAAAACCCCAAGTGAAGACAATGATAACATGACTTCACATAATATTTTTCAACCAAATCATAGCAAATTTGGTAGAAGTGAAATGAAATGAAAGCCATTCAAGTATAAAATTCTGTATGTGCAAATTACAGGTGACAAGAATCTGGCAGAAGTAACGCAACATATATATTGTTTTATTTCATACTTGATAAGACTAGTCCATATATTGTAAAACTCACTCAATCTGCATGTTCCTCATAGTTAACAAAATTAACTATTCTGATAAATTATTAGAAGTAACAAGAGTCACGACGTACTTGGGATGTTCTAAAAGTGTAGAGGAAACAATTACGGCTTATTAGAATAAGCTCTCTGGCAAAGCATGCCCTAACAAGGCTAAATTTTGGTATTGCAAATTTCTACCTGGGAAGAACCTGAGGAGAATCTTTATTACCACACGAACTACTTAGATTGGCCTCCAAATATGTACCATACTGGGATTCTTTGAATACAGCAGCCATTTCTGATGCAGAAATAAAGATGTGTTGTTTTGACTGATCAGACCAGTGCCGAGCTTGATATTTCTTTGAAATCACCTGGAAAAAAAGTTACTTGCATGTAAACTTCAGCACGCCCACAACTTCTATGAGCACTAATTCAACTGAGGCAATTCGACGCTGCAGCAAGCATATTAGCATCGCAAGAAAATGAAATGGGCTTACATGCTCTTGCTCAATCCACCAGTGTCAGCAATGTTGCTTGCTCGACTGTGGATTCCTTTGATCACTGCTGCTGCTGCCTGCTAATGCTCGAAGAGAAGGGAGGTGCAGACCTCCGGGGAGAAGATATGGGCAGAGGCGAACCCCACCGGCGCAGATCAAGTTGCCGTGTGCTCAATGATTCCCTCTGATTTGGGTCACGGGTGCAGGTGAGCTTGCCGTGTGCTCAATGATTCCCTAGCCACCTCTGATTTGGGTCACAGGTGCAGGTGAGCTCGAAGATCTGATTCTATATCACACCTGGCCACCGCCTAGTTGCATTGTCATCCGCCATATCGCCTAGGCACTTGCGGCAATGCCTTGATGCCATCTTCTCCATACCGCCTAGGCACCGATGTTGACTGCCTTGGACCAGCTAGGCAGGCCCTCCCGCCTAACAGGCTGAGTTGTGTCAAATCATAGCGCTAACCCCGTGCTTAGGGCCAATTTCTGGAACACTTTAAACGAATTTTTTTGCATTCTCTTTATATTAAAATTACAGTTTATGGTTGATTGTAGATTTTGCGTAATACATGTTATCTGTTTTCTATAGCTCCTTACATGCTAAATATTTGAATATGCAAACCATTAATTTGTGACTTGTTTAATTATTGCAGGTAGGACAGAAATGATACTCGAAATGCCAGGAATAAGTGTTACTACATGCATGGAGACTTTTACATAGACTTTTACTATTGTAATATAAAATGGCTCTTTCTTTATCTACGATAAAATTGAAAGTCGTTCTAGTATAAGGGAAATGAGACGTTATTCGAATAGCTATCATGATTTACAATCTTATTCATGTAAATGAAGTTCTGTGATTTGACTGCATACAAACGCTATATATCTCTAGCATAGCTATTTCTTGGGGCAATTTTGTTCAATTTAAGGTATTATTTGCGGCAATTTTATTAAGGTAAAGATATTATTTGGGGTAATTTTGTTCTTGTCCCCACACTGAGATACACTTGTGATTTTATCTATTAGTTCTGTACTAAATGTTCAGTTATTGTGACATATCAAAAGGTTGTTTTGCATGCAAAAGTTTACTATACCATGAGACAACAAGTTTATCATCTTGTAAGTATGTGATAAAGTTGTTTGTGGTGTATTATCAAATGTAGAATAGTACGAATTAATATTATCATGCTTATCAATTGTTTATGTTGTTGTCTACATTTTGTGCATGAAAACTCGAACTGCACCATGGTCTTTGTGGACAATGTGTTGCATACAAGACCTTCACCAAGAGTAATGCGATCACTTGATATAACTTTTACAATAAGAGTTGTTTGTATTTGTGATGTAAATTTATTAGGTTTTTATACTCTCAATGTTAGCAGAAAAGCACATACGTCAATCTAATTAAAGTTCAAATGAGATAGCAGACACACCTTATCATTGCATACCTCTCAGGGATTCCACGATGATTGGACGATCTGACAAATTAAGCAAAGACGTATAAATGATATTCATCCAAAAAAAATTAGATCATGTTCATCCACACGATAAAAAATTACATTGTACTTTGGAGGTTAAAAAGACATCCGAAGTATGACTATCCAAAGATCAGACTTGGCATTAAAGGCAGTTTATCGAATTTTACAGAAATTTTAACTGAGGTGGTTCAGTTTCTATGAAATTCCTCAGTTCAACAGAAGACCGGAGGTATGCTGACATACCATTTTTTTCACACGTCCCTGTGGCGTGTTCGGATTTGGGGATAGAAATGGAGTATTGATCAGGATAAGATTGGCTAATTCAGTAATCCTAACGACGGAACCTGTCCCCATAGTCTAAAATACCTAGGTTCGTAATTAAGAGAGTTGATGTGACAAGATAAAGCTTTTGCAAGATTATAATAAAATTAAGTTTGAGTAGACCCATGGAAAAGGTAATTAACTTCATCAATTCCACCTTTTTAGTCACTAAACCAAAAAAATAACTCAAATAACTCTCTTGCCAGACTTTTAGCAATTAACCTAACATCGACCAACCTTATCGCGGAGGATCCAGCATACAGAAGCAGTGAGTTATTAATCGTGATCCTTTTAAGATGAAGCCTAATAGCATACTAATCGTGATGCTAATCAAGCATTACTACCATGATACTATACGGTAGACCAATCGTAATACTTCTCAAGATTAAGCTATTTATGTAGCTACCATTCCGGTGCCAAATAGTTTAACCGTGCAAACCATAGAATTAGATGGCCCGTTCAACAAAATTAAAGGAAAAAAAGATCATGTGCATTTATTTTATAACCGTGCAAACAATATTGTAATTACCAGCACTCATAAATCCATTCATTCCAAAAAAATAATAATAATAAATCCATCCATTCGAGTTGCGTTTATCTAGAGGCAGCACATGACCTGTACCATCATTAGAAACATAAGGATGTGATCACTTAGGTAGATACAGATAACTCACCTCCATTGTGGTTACCGGCCATATCAAGAGGAAGCCGGATGAACATGAACGTAAAACATTTTCCAACCTCTAAAATGAACGGTCTTTTAAAAATCCTCATGTGAATCCGCATAGTAACAATCTTTCAAAATCCTCGTGTTAATCCACAATAGTAGAAGTCTTTCAAAATCCTCGTGTGAGTCCACATAAATACAGAACAATTGGAATATTGGAATGGCCGTGCATTTTAGCTCAGTTTGCAAAACTATATATCACCAGTGATTGAAGAAGGAAAAAAAAAACCATCACTCTGACACCTTTTGAAAGACAACCCAGAGGGTGAAATGAACAATATTTGGTACCGGACACCCAAAACGATGTGTGTTCCTTTATCCTCCTGAAGCGACGAAATTATGGATCTCTGACTTTATAAACCACACCATAATAAGATAACCGATCTCTGAATTTCATAAACCACACCATACTAAGATAACCCCTTCCGTAATTACCATCCCGACAGAGATTGAGCTTCCTCGGCAGCAGTAATGGTAAAAAAAAAAGCTTTCCGACTTGGAGCACTGCACATCCTCCATGCTCATCAAATCCTCTCCCCAAAATAAAGTCCTCCTCATGACCTCAGAGCTACAAGAACGTTGCAGAATGGTGATTAGATTCAATACTTATATCCGGATCGGACAGACAGCAATTATACTGACTTTGTAAATATCTTATATCATGGATGCTCGCAGAAAAAAAAAAAGCTCATGATCGAACACCGAAGAGCAGGAAGATCTAAGATATCCCTGTAGTGGAAATATGTATATAATATATAAGAAAAAAAACATAAGAAGGAATCAAATAACCACGCCTCCACCCGACATCAAAAGCGAAGCGAAGCAGATATACCCCCAGGTCTTCGCGCATCGGAGGCCCAACGCCGCCGCCGAAGAGGATCCGAGGCACCGGCGCCGGTGAATCTCACCCACACGGCGAGAGCACGACACCGATCCAGGTCACCTCCCGGCGACAGATCCACGCGATCTGCACCATCATCCCGCTAAGCTTTCTCTCTCTCTGCTGTTCTTCCGATCCAACAGCAGATCGAGAGGGAGCTTTTCCTCTCTATCTCGAGAGAAAAAGAGTCCTGATAACCGCCACGGAACGCATCCGGCGAAGAAAAGCTGTCGTCGGCGGCGAGGAGATCGATCTCCAAGGCACCCCGGCGGCGGCCGGACGCTCCCCCACACGGTGCTGGCCGGCCCTGCGTGGCGGCGGCGGCGCCGATCTAGGGTTTGGGCGGTGGAAGGAAGAAAGGGGAGGCCGAGAGAGTCGTACGACGCTGATGCAAAGGATGGAAAAGATAAGATGTGGCCACAGGCTTTTGCGATTTATTGCTGAGCCTCAACTGCGCCATGCACCGGTGCACGCGGTGTACAGAATCGATGCGAGTGGGCCGCGTTGGATCGGTGACGCGGTCCATGAGCCTGGTCTACCCAATAAAGCTGTCACCTACCTGACGCGTATCCAGTGTTGGTGCTTCGTACTTCGAGAAAATTACCGCGTTTTGTAGGAGTAGACCAATCACAAAATTACCGAGAAAAAAATGATAATTCCAGATACTTTCCTTTCCCTTCTCTTGTGAGATGACGAGATGTTTCAGAAACTTTTTTACTAGCTTTTTACACGTCATAAATTGTTTATATTTTACTTACATCCAACATGCGTCGTATATATATACTCATATATCGTACTTTTATGCGGTAGTCTTCTCTTCTTTTTAGGCCATGTACAACGTTGACCCTAGCTTGTAGTCTCAAACCTACACATCTGATACGCTCATCCGTGGTAGTGGGGACCGTGGCTTTGCAGGCCAATTCCGCGCTTGCAGAAGAACCATACAAAGCGCCGCGCCTGGCTTGGGGAGGGTGAAGCCACGGCACGAGGTCACGCGTTGGCGGAGCCGGAGCCCTGTGCGTCGCCTCGACCGGTCCCCAGATCCATCGCCACCGCTACTCCCCGCCACCGACGGTCGCGAAGAAGGGAGGAGAGGAACCGCCGTCGTTGTGCCCCCTGCCGCCCGATCCGGCAAGCCCGCGCTCGGATCAGGTGAGCCCGCGCCCGGATCCAGCGAGCCCGCACCCGGATCCAGTGAGAACTCCTCCCTGCCGCCGGTGGCCCCTCACCGTCGCGACATGGGGGGTGGGAGGGGATCCGCCGCCGCCGGTGGTCTCTCAGCCGCAGCGGGAAGAGGGGGGAGATGGAAGAAGCCGGCGGCCAAAACCGCCGCTGCCGCCATGGGGCTCCGTGCATCGCAGCTTGCAGAGAAGACGCGGGAGAGAGGCCGGAGGAGACGCGGGGGAGATGGGAAGCTCGCGGCGGTGTGAGGGACTGGGAGGGGAACGGGTCTCGCCGGCGACTTCGCTGGGTAGGGAAGGGGTCTCGTCGGCAGGTGGATTGGGAGAAGAAGGAGTGCCGATGGTTTCGGCGGAGAAGACGATAAGGCTCGGAGAGAGAATAAAAATCTGTGGAGAATACGAGAAGACTCGAGAGAGAGAGTAAAAAAAGGATGGGGAGAGGCTGACAGTGGGTCCACATGGTGTTTAGGGGTGCATATATACTTCTTTTAGTTGTTATAGGGATCAAAATATAAAGTTTTAATAGGTTTGATAATAAAATACACTACAAGGGCTGACATATAAATAGTTAGGGGCTGAAATGTAAAATACATTTTAGAGTGGTTTCCACTCTAGGTAGTGTAATCTTTGTATGGTTCTATCTTACGTAGTTGGTTGAGACCACTGTTGCTTGTGGCTACCATTATACATGCCCTTATCTTTGAATGGAGAACGAGAGCTTCATCGTAATCTTTTTTATTCTTCCTTCTATCCGAAAGGGAATTTTGTATCTATAGTTTTTTTTAACTAGAAAATCCCTCATAGAATATTTAGAAGCAGCTATAGTATGCTATAATATACTCTCTCCATCCCATAATATAAGAGATTTTGGATGGATATGACATATTATAGTGTAATGAATCTAGAAATACGGTATTACATTATGGAACGGAAGGAGTAATTACATTATAACTATACCATATTAAAAAGAATGCAACCGTGGTGTCAGTTCCCACCAGACCACCAGGCTGACTTGTGCGGCCACATTGTCGGTGGGAGGGGGCGCCGGCGCCGGATCCACATGCGTGAGGGGCAGATAGGCGGTGGCCGGGATCCACGCGGTAGTGGGAGCGGGCACCGGATCATTCTAGGCGCGTGGGGGACGGAGAGGCGACGGGATCTGTGGCCTGCGGGGAAGAGGAAGGGGGCGCCAGATCCGCCCTTCCCATCTCCAACGCCGGCGGATCCTTCGCGCCTCAATGAGCCACCGGCGCCCCCGACCTACTCCTGCCTGGCGCGACGCCCCCGGGCTCCTCCCTACTGTTGCCCAGTGCTCGCTCCGCCACCGTGCCGCGTCCACCTCGGTCGCGCCCAGCCGCCGCCCAGGCCCAAGCCATGCGTCGCCGAGGCGCCACGCCACCACCCCCACACGACTCTCCCCATGGCCGCCCACCGCCGCCTTGGTCACACGAGCCACGTGCCGTCGCCTAGTGCTAGCCGCGCTGCCGAGCCCGGCCGTCGGCTCCCTCTCCCTCGGGCGCTCCTGAGCAGAGGAAAGACAAAGAAAGAAAGAGAGAGAAAGAAACAATAAGGATAGAGAAAGCTTAGCGCACCGCTCTCGATTTGCCGCTGGCGCTGTCGCCGCTAGGGCCGCCCGGCTTCGGCGTCGCTCGCGCCACGTGCCGCCCTCGATCTGCCGCTGGCGCCTCGCGCCGCCTGCCGGCTCCGTCGCCCGGCAGCCTCGGTTCCTCTGGTGGGGGAAGAAAATGGAGGAGAGAGATAAGGCTTTCCTCCGGTGGGAATAAAAAAAGAGAGGAGAGAGGGAGAGTTGAAAAGTAGTAAAAAAGATGGCACCAGTGGTACAAGCAATTTGCATTGTGGAACATGTAGCTTAGTGCCTGTTCACTTTGATGCCAAAAAAAACCTTATCAAATTTTAGCAACTATGCCAAATTTTGGCAGGATTTCTTATATAGTTTCCAAAATTTGGCAGCAAACTAAATGTAGCTATTTTTTTTGCAACTTTACCAAAATTTGGTATGGTTTTTTTTGCATCAAAGTGAACAGGCCCTTAAGGCGTTTCTGGTCTACGTGGCCCACGAGGAACGACAAATACAAGTGACGCACTGCTAATGCCCTAATAGTCCACAAGTGTTAACATTTTTACATTCAAATCCATGACCCCACATGTAAGTCTAACACATTTTACGTTTAAAACATTACATGATTTAAGCATTCGCTAAGCTGGGTCTGTACTCGCATATGAACATAGGCCCACATGTCAGTCTGTAGGCGACTGGGAGCAGAGCAGCGGCACGGCATTGAGGTTTGCGGCGTCGAACGGCGTCTCGGCTGGGTTGCGATCAAAAGAGAAAACGAAGAGGAGCTTACGGCGAAGTTATAGGTTGTCTTGTTGCAAGCAGCGGTGACCGGAATCGATGGCGATAGCGGCGGCTTAGTTCGATGTATCGAGTCCCCTCAAGGGATTTGAGGTCGCCGCCACGCTCGGCCACTCCTCTCACGGGGGGACTCGATCAATAGGTTCGTGTAATCGTGTCAATACGCATCTTCTCATACTTAAGGTTGCACTTCAGTTGTCATGCAAATTAAGCTTATTGATTAAACCAAACTCAAATCACAAATATGCAAACCATAGTCGTGCATTACAGCCTCAAAAACAGGTTCAGCTGCTGAGTGGAGACAACATTACTGAAAGGTGATGCTACTTGTCTGTGGAAGTGAATGGGGGCAGACGACTGTCTTCCATGGCGCGTACGGAGGCGTTGAGATGACTCATCTTTGGCGGCGGACGGAGGTGGCGCTTGGCTCGACTTCAACAGCAGCGACTCAGCATCGGATGGTTGCGGCGGCGACTCAGTTTCAGCAGCGGGCGGCGGGGCGGCTTCGGCGGCAGGCGGACGGGAGCCGAAGCGTTGCCGACTCGCGAGTGGACGACGGCATCGGGGAAGACAACGGGGGGTTGTTTGCAAAACGTATTCCCGTGTGCAAAGGGGCTTTTCGCGAAACTTCACGTAAGTGCGCGGTGGGAGCCATCCTGAGCGCACATAACGGATCAGATGGTTGAGATGGAGTTTGTGCATGTGTGCACGATTTGCTTTGTGTTCACCTGATATGTTGCCATCTAAACAAGGCTTGTGTGGGAAGTATACGCACAGTGGTCACCGCACGTGCTCCGGCCGCCTGGCCGTCACCGTAAGCCGCGGCGTGCCGCGTCTAACTGTAGGCTATAGGTGTCGGTGCTTCAGAGAGTGAGGCGAGGCGGCTGCGCTGCACGTGCGTATACTACTACTAGCTACCGTTTCCACGATTGAGGCATGACGTATAGGTAGCATGTGAGTACCCAATCGAGATAACCACCTTGTCTCGTGGTGTGATTAGCGCTATCACTATTTATAGGCACTATGGGTACTTCACGGGCATCCTAAAACCGTTCCAGTGCCAAGACAATCAGAGCCAGCAATCGCTACACCCTGATGTGATAAAAGATGGCCGTACATACATGCATGCATTATTCGAATGCTGGTCAATTGGGAGTACCAATATAACGAAATTGATTAGTGAAGGTCAATCCATATACTGTAGTCCACTTTCTCAGCTCCCCAAAATTCTCTCGCTGCTTCTTGCTGTCCCAATTTGTACGACCACATGTCTACAGAATTTTCGCCACCGTTCTTCGCTTTGGAATAATCGGTGTTGGACGATGATTTTGGTACGAAAGCTAATTCACCATCACAAGAAACAAGATCAACGTGGACGGTTTCGGGCCACTTATAGAACATCGGGAGAAACACCCTATTCTGCATCGGAGGTGGTTTTTCTACACCTAGGTGCTGCAGCACCTAGGCTGCATGCCGTCGGATGGATCCCATGATTGGTGCTGTATGTAAAGTGTTTTCCCTGTATATTGCGGTGACCGTATCTACCAGACATTAGAGCAGGTACAATAGCAGTCTATAAGCCAGCTGTAAACATATTTTAAGAAGATAAACGAGGAGAGAGAAGGGCAGTGGGCTACAGATTTGTAGCCAGCTGTAGCACGGACTCCAAGACACAGTGTGTGAATGATAGGTGGGACCAGATATTAATAGTGTAGTATGTACCTATTGTATGAATGAGCTATAAGATTGGCTATAGATGAATTGGAGCTAGTAGTTGGCTATACTATTGAACTTGCTCTTATACGGGGTACAGAAGAACTACTTTTACGACGCGTGGTCCCGCCTCCCAGCCTTTTTGA